ATCCGCGACTGGACCTAACGGTCTGGGGTCCCTTTACCTTTACCTTACTCCCTCATTAGTATTTGTAGTAAGGATTCAAGTCTTATCAAATGCATCTGGGTTTCTTGTTTATCTGAACAGCACCCCTCCTTTTTTTGTGGATGGCAAGACAGCCTTGGAAACAACACAATTGTGCTCTTTGAAATGCAAGGCAAACACATTTCCAAAAAAAAAACAAGAGAAAGGGCAAAATTGTGATTCGGTGTCGCTGCCCACACCAATGCGGGCGTAGGTGGCACTCAGTCTTGGTAACTGTTCCCAAAACATTCCAAAATGGGGACACTGAAGGAGAATGCTATCAGAAGTCACCAGCTGAAGTCCTTGTAAACAGGCCACCCAAAACATATGGAAATGTATGGGCAGATTCTTCCAAAAACTTAAAAACCAGGCTTATCTCAGCAGGACGTGCCACGGTGAGGGGAACAGGGGCTCCTAGCAACTGTCCTGGCCCTTACACTTCCCAAGTTTCTTTGGTGGCAAGCCATGACTGTTTATAAAGTGGCATTGAACACATTACTGAAATGTATTGTGCAGATGAAGCCTAAGTGATGATGCAACAAGTCTTGCTACAGAAAGTAAACACGGCTCCTACAACTGTAAAACTTGCACAGGTTTTCGCAGCTAGCCTTTTCAAGTTCTTTGAAGATGTCGGGAAGAATAAGGACAAGGTGAATTCCATAGAAGAACCTCTTGGACTCTCTACCAGTGTTTCTTAAACTTGTGTCCCCAACTGTTGTTGGACTACAACTCCCTTCATCCCTATCAGGACCAGTGGCCAGGGATGATGGGAGTTGTTGTCCAACAGTAGCCGGGGACTCAGCTTTGAGAAACACTGTGGGCCTAACCAGCCCACAAGACTCTCCCCAGTCACACTTCATACTGCCTCTGCTTCATAACCTTCTTGACTGTTTGGCTGGAATGCAACCTGGGCCTTTGATGATGTCTCTTGCTTGCCATGATAGAGAGATATGCATGTGGGGAGTGTGTGTGGATGCCTCTGACCTTTGTGTGGCTGGACTGTACCTTACTGAGAAAAAAGAAGAGTCACATCCATTGCTCCAACTATTACACCTTCAGCCTTCTGGACATTGCATCTGTGCACACTAGTCATCAGCATATGGTCCCTGGGAGTATGGCAACAAGGAAATCTGGCCCTTGGGATGAAAAAGGTTTCCCAACCCTGTGGTTGTATCTAAATTCTACCGTGAGTAGACCCATTGAAATTAATTGACCTACTCTGAGTATGACTTTCCTTTTGGGAATTATAGGGACAAAACTACCCAGACATTTATGCGACTCCAGTGACAAGAATGTTACTTGCCCCAAAATGGAAAGAAGAAGTCCCAGTGAAAGAAGAATGGATACAAAAACTAATGGAATATGCAGAAATGGCGAAACTTACTGGAAAAATAAGAAATCAAGATAACAAACATTTTATAAAAGAATGGAAATGGTTTATTGGATATTTACAAATAAACTGTAAACAGATAAGAATATTGGCAGGATTATGGTAGTAACCGGAAGTCTTATAAGAGTATATATTTAAAGTAGATGAATAAATGAGTAAATTAAGTTCACTTGGAATATGCAGAAAATATAAAAAATAAATTTAAGGAACTGCAGAAAGAGGGGGAAGGAAGTCGAGTTTTGAAATGTTAAAATGATTGTAAAATTATTGAAATGTATAAAACTGAAAATCATAAAATGAGTATGACTATTACTGCAAACACTCCATTGTATAAAGGTAAAGGTAAAGGGACCCCTGACCATTAGGTCCAGTTGTGACCGACTCTGGGGTTGCGGCGCTCATCTCGCTTTATTGGCCGAGGGAGCCAACATACAGCTACCGGATCATGTGGCCAGCATGACTAAGCCGCTTCTGGTGAACCAGAGCAGCGCACGGAAACGCCGTTTACCTTCCCACCGGAGCGGTACCTATTTATCTACTTGCACTTTGACATGCTTTTGAACTGCAAGGTTGGCAGGAGCAGGGACTGAGCAGCGGGAGCTTACCCCGTCGCGGGGATTTGAACCACCGACTTTCTGATCGGCAAGCCCTAGGCTCTGTGGTTTAACCCACAGCGCCACCCACGTCCCCGCTCCATTGTATACCTGGACTTTAAAAAGCACACTAACCTATGATAGCATTCAGGTGCAAGACAAACACTTCCTCATTCCAACAGGCATTCTAAGGCAGTTTTATGGTACCTTTTTATTGTACTCTGTATGGTTTATTTTTATGTACATCACTCACAAACGCTAATGATTAAGTGGCATAAAAATGCATAAAATAAAGCACCGTGTCTCGAGACAGACAGATGCCAACTAAATACACATATATACAAAGTAAAGTAAAAAGGTAAACATACCAACTGGGAGGACAGGAGCTTTAGAAATTGGATAATCTCATGAATGGAACCAGTGCCTACTGAATGTAGTGCAACTTGCCTTCACTGCCAATTTTAAAGAATGCCACATGCAAGCCATGGCTGAAAAGGATCAACTGAGAGCACACTCTAAGCCATGTGCTGCCAGGCCCTGTTTAAATGTGGAATGCCAGCCACACTGCTTTCAGAAGGAATTGGGTCCACATCGGATGTCATATGACATCAGGTGATTGACAGGCGGGCAAACACATGTGGCCCACGGAGGTTTGGTCACTTTTGGATCCAGGCCATGAACCACAGTTGGGAGAGAAATTGCTGCTTCCTTACATCTCTATTTAGAGAGCTGCTCAGAGTATGCAATTCTGGGATGGTTTAAAGTGAGCTTCTTATTATGTCCCTAATAACACAAAGATCTTGTCGCTTGGTACAGACATCTTTCCCCCCCTTTTCAATTTGTTTTTTTCTGGCTCATATTTATGAGACAGAAACTGGATGGGTAATTATATATAACAGCTTGACACGGTATGGTGAATAAGCAAATGCTAGGATTAACATTCTGAGCAAAAACAGACATTCTAATTATTGATAATGTTAATTTCTAATGGAATACAGTTCGGAATAGAGAGAAGGTGATTGGGTGATGCACAGATCGCTCCAAATGTTCCCAATTCAGGTTGCCACAGAGGGACCAGTCAGCTTCCGCCCACAGATGCACTGTTTCAGCTGTAGTTGTGTTCTAACTAGATTGGGATATTGTCTTTTGATAAGACCTTTAGTGCAGCCCTGCCTTCCCCACCTCATATCCTTCAGATGTTTCAGACTACAGTCCCCACCTTCCTTGATCACGGGTCCTGCTGGCTGAGGCTGCTGGGAGTTGTAGTCCAGCGACACTGAGAGGGCGCCAGTTCAGGAAGGCTAGTGCATCCAAACAGCCCTATGAGTAGGTTTAGTGACAATCGCGGGACGTTCCTGGAGAGCACATGTAGCCATTGCACCCTGTGGAAGCTAAGCAGAACCAGGTCTGTCCACTGCCTTGAGTTCCATGATGGATGAATGTTTGGTTATAAATATACCAAATAAGCAAGACAAAATAAACGACTCACAGCTTTAGATTTGCTTAACAGTTTTTACAAACAAACAAACCACCCTGATACGGAAGGGCAACGCCGTTTGACAAGTACATTTAATTCACTGAACTGCACTTTGTGCTTCTCAACATCCCACACGTTCCAAGGCTGCCGATTACTAATAGATTCACCCCCGATGTTTTGTCTGATTGTTCAGAGCAGACTCATTCACATTACACATAGCAAATATGCACCCACGGGCAAGGAATGCTGAGACACAAAACAGAACAGCTGCCAATTACATAGCTGTGGCACAGCACAACTGGCATTGGATCAGCACACATTTTTCATTTCTCCTTCTCTGCCTTCAGCGGACAGAACTGAGGTCTGTGCACAGGTCTCCAGCCACGACAGGGGATGCAAAGGAAAATCCTTCCTAGCCTGGGAAGCAGGAGCAGTCAGCCATAGAAGGATCAATCAAGTTGCTAATTCCACGTTAAGGATCATTAGGAAAGGGGTGGAAAATGAAACCGCCTTTATAGAAATCTATGGTGCTCATGGAATACCGGGGGACATTTCTAGCCACTGTACATCAAGAAAAGTGCTGGAGAGCTGAACAACATGTAGAAAAGGGCAAAACGACCAGGGGACTCCTGGAAAATGATCAGGGGACTCCTGTACAAAGAGAGATTACAGCGTTGGAGAAATTTCATTTAGAAAAATAGTATTGGGGGGGCACATGAAATTATGTATAGGGAGGAAGTCAGAAGTAAATCTCACCGAGCAAGTTAGGGTTAACTCTTTAATAGCAAAAACACGATCTGCACAAGAGTGTCAGGCCTAATGAACACAGAAACTCATCTTCAGCAGGTCTTGCTCCCATGAAGCAGTTGATGAGACTGAAGGTCCCTGCCTCCCCATAGCTGTCTGAGTCCCCACCTCTCCAGTGTTTCTCCCAAGCAATCTGAGACTGTGTCTGTGTGAAGCTAACTTCTCCTCTGCCCTCTTAATGCCTCTCCTGGTTCTGGGAAGCTCCTTGCAGCAGGAGGGGGAGACACCTGTGCCTCTTCACCAACAGGACTCATTTCTGCCTCTTGGCTTCCCTCCTCTGCTGCTTCTGATTCTGTACTTCTCTCTGCCACAGACTCCCCCTGCTCACTAAACCCTGTTACCTCTTCAGCTTCCAACACCTCCTCTTCCCAGTCTTCTCTCCCACTCATCATCCTCCCACCACCAATCCCCTGGCTCTGAGCCTTCTTCTCTTGGTGGTTCCTCAGCTGGTTACTCCCACCATTCCTCTGCGTCCAACCAGTCCATGACGAAGTTTGAAGTGGGTGGAGAGAAGTGTTTTCCCCCTCTCTCATACTAGAGTGTGGGGTCCCTGGAGGAAGCTGATTCCTCCATAAAGGGGAACATAGGGAGCTGCCTTATGCTAAATGAGACCATTGGCCCATTTAGCTCAGTATTCTCTACACTGAGCTCCCCAGGGTTTCTCTTCCAGCCTCCCTGGAGATGCCAGGGATTGAACTTGGGACCTTCTGCATACAAAGCAGATGCGCTACCACTGAGTACAAACAAGAGGTAGTGCTTCACACAAGCTAATGGTGATGGCCCACCAGCTGAGATGGCTTTTAAAGGGAACTAGACAGCTTGATTGTATCAATGGCTATATGCTATCTCTGAGATCAGAGGCAGAAGGATCTGGCCTTCATGGGAAAGAGGGTGCTGGACTGGATCAAGACCTTTGATCTGATATGGCAAGGCTCATCTTAAGTACCCATCAATATAGGCCTTTTGTCAGAAATCAAGGCATACTTGGTAAGGCTTTCCCACATTTATTGTTGGAAATGCCATAAGCTATATATTTTCCCCTCCTGGAAAATGTATTTCTGTTTGATCTGCCTTGCACCTTCCCTTGAGTGTCTTTGCCTAGCTGGAATATCTCCTTGAACTCTGATAATGCATTTTGCTTGATAGGATGAAGAATAGAGAGCGGTGTGTGGAAATTGGCTGCTGTACAAATTTAACATCTACATTTGTTGCTCTGACCACTTTTGCCTCTTCCCCTCCAACCACCGGCATGTGGCCCCCAGAAGATCGCCCAGAAGAACATAAGGCCCTCCAGCTGGAAAAGATCCCCCAACTCTGTACTAGTTAATATTGCAGTAGGATTCTAACCTTTCAATGTGGCAAATTCAAGAGTTTGTATTGAAAAAGCAAGAAGGAGAGAACCAACTCAAGTAACAATTTCTGTGCAATATTGTAACTTTCTACAATCACACAACCGTGGGATTCACAGTAAATTAGGTCACAAACTCGTTGCTACCACTCTGTCAGATTTTCCTTATTTAATTAGAGACATGAGGGGATTTTTATTGGGAGCGCAGCGTGCAGGGAGAAGACAAAGGACCATCTCCTCCCCTGCTATGATGTCAATGAAAATTGTCCATGCTGCAGTTAAGCTAATGAGGGATGGAAAACACCTCCCATTTTTCCTAATCCCAACTGCAGCATGGAGGGGGGAGGACTTCAGAAAGCAGGGGGTCATAATGATGCAAGCTCCACCCATCCATCCACATGCTCAGAAACTGCCATGCATTGATCTCTGGAGAGTCACCCCGATAACAGAAGGCAGATCACAGCTGCTAACCTTGGGCCAGTGGAGTGAATTCAGCTAGCTGAGAAGACAGCTTGCTTCGCTCTTGGCCAACACAAGAGTCATCAGGCAGGACAACTCTATACCAACCCTCTACTTGGTTGCCTACTGAAGTGGGGGTAGGGATTGGGCTTTGAGGAGCCATGTTTGTGGTGCTTGTCGCCCTACGTAACTATCCTTTTGGCACCAAGAAGGAGATGAACAAATGGATGATGAAAGGGTGATTTGAACTGTGAAGGCAGAAGTCCTTTTTCATATAACTTCAACACCCAAAATCCATACACACACACACCAGCCAACACATACATACATAGGAATCTGCCTTATATTGAGTCAGACCAACTGACCACTTAGCTTAGTGTTACATACACTGCCTGGCAGTGATTCTGGACAGTTTCCAGGAGGGCTCTCTCCCAGTCCTAGCTGGAGACACCTGGGATTGAACCTGGAACCTTCTGCATGCAATCCAGATGTTCTACCACTTGGCTATGGTTCTTTGGATTAATTCCAGGAGTGAAGAAACACCTTTCTCTTCACCACCGAAAGGTTCACTGGGGGAAAGAAACATTATTTATCCATTGACCTTACCTTGTTATTGTTAATCAGGTAAGAGAGGCAAACATCATTCCCATTTTACAGATGGAAAGCCAAGGAGAAAAAGAGAGAGAGAGAGCACTTGCTATGGGTCTAACGGAGTCTAAGGCCAAATCAGAATTTGAATGGAGAACTCTTTAGCTTAAATTGCAAGCTACTAGCTTCTGGTTTTAAATGCAATATACAGATCTCAAGAGAGGAAAGGCAGGCTACATCTGGCTCTCTTCCCCCCTGTCTAGGTCTGATTGTTCATATCACACACTTATTAATGGCTTATCTGAGCTAACAAAACAAAAATGTAATCATGCCAAGCCAGAGGGGAACACACGGCTTTGTTTGTCAAAGCTGGCACTGGCAAAAATATATCTCTTTATTAGCATAAGGACTCATAAGCAGCTTCTTTAGAAATCATCAAGCACCAGGGAGAGACATGTGTTTTGCCATTTGGAAGCTGAAGGCAGATGAAAACAAATCAGACCATCTATGCTGATGGAAGTTATTGTTGTTATTTTTCTCTCTCTGAAATCTGAAACGGAGGAAAAAAATGGAGGTTTGCCTACCATTATGAGGCGGGCTTTACAATCTCTTGAATTTCATTTCCAAGCCCGAAAGGATTAGATGACATCTAACAGAAGATGCCAAATCATGGAGCATTTGCGAGCTGATTTAAATAAAAAGGCTTCTTCTAAAACTACTCTTACACCTCATTGTTCAAGGTGTAGTCCAGGTCCTCATTGCATCAAGAAGCACCTCCTTCTGTAGGAGACACAAGCATCTCTCCATCTGTTCACTGGGGGCCCCCTCCATTAGATCAGGGATGGAGAGACGTTGTTCAGTTTGAGGGCAAGGTTCTCTCGTGGACCACAGTCCAGTGGTGGGTAGGACCAGAGGCTATGGACCTGACTCTTCCTTTTGAATAGCAAGCTATATTTCAACCACAGGGAAGTCCGAGGGTTTTACATACATATCCTCCAAGCAGGCAGTGGGCCTCATCAGATTTCAAGGACACATGCCAGTCAGGCAAAAGAACCTGAGGGTTGTGTGCAGCAGGGTTCATGATGCTCAGGAGAGTCTCAGTGGCAGGACAAAATATCCTGGAGGGCTGCATTTGGCCTGAGGTTCTTCACAATTGCTCCACAGGGAAGCTACAAGCCACGGTGGCTATGTTCTGCCTCTGCTATCAGAGTCAGCATGCTTCTGAACGCCAGCTGCTAGGAATCACAAGTGGGCAGAGTGCTGTTGTGCTCAGGTCCTGTTTGGGGTTTCCCAGAGGCATTTTGCTGACCACTGCGAGAGCAGGATGCTGGATGAGATGGGGGGGAGGTAAAGGTGAAGGATCCCTGGATTGTTAAGTCCAGTCAAAGGTGACTATGGGGTTGCAGCATTCATCTCACTTCAGGCCAAGGGAGCCAGCATTTGTCCACAGACAGCTTTCCGGGTGATGTGGCTAGCAGGACTAAACCGCTTCTGGTGCAACGGTAAACCAGAGCGCACGGAAATGCTGTTTACCTTCCCACCACAGCGGTACCTATTTATCTACTTGCACTGGCATGCTTTCGAACTGCTAGGTTGGCAGGAGCTGGGACTGAGCAACGGGAGCTCACTTCGTCGCGGGGATTTGAACCACCGACCTTCTGATCGACAAGCCCAAGAAGCTCAGTGGTTTAGACCATAGTGCCACCTGCATCCCTACGAGATGGAACTGTGACCTGATGGAGCAGGCTCTTCTTGTGTTTAAAGACCTGTTTGTGTGGTTCTGTCTTACCTTGTTTTTATCCTACTTGGCTTTGACACTATTCCATTGTTTCATCGGCTATTTCCCACCTTTTAAAAATGCAGGTTGTAATTCCTAAATGACATTGTTTTAACTGATATTGCTTCAGTTGCCTGTTATTATCATTATTATTGCAAAGTGCTTAGAGAAACATGATTTAAGAGTCGTATGCAAGCATTGTACATAAACAATACAAACAAAATGAGGTATAGCATTCCTAGAAATGTACAGCTTCAGAACTTAGGTGACAAACTATCTACATGGTGTTGCTCTGGCTTTTCCTTGCACCTAGAAAACTAGCAAGTGAGGGCTGTGACTAAGATAAAGCCCTTAGTTCAATTTGCAGCTTGAAATAAAGTCCAGACATTATTCCTATATCCATAGTCACACCTTGTATGGAAAGCTACCAAGACTGCCAGTTTCAGAATGACAGATTGTGCTATATTGCTTCTGACTGACACATATATTGTTTTTATTTGAAATATAATAACATATCTTGCCTTCCCAAACATTTGGTCCATAATCAGCTTGAACTTCCCCTTCCCCTTCCCCAAGACATCCAGCCCTTTTTCATCAAAGTGTGGTTCCAATTCCAAATGTCTTTCCACCCACCCAGAGACATGTGCCCTGCTTCTGATTCCACATTTATTATCTTCTGCTGAGAGGGTAAATATTCCTACAGGCAGATCCTGAATAATGACATTTCACTCTTGCCCACTTACTCCCTGAGACTCAAGGAAAACTCGACTGCTTAATTTGAAATGTGACAGACACTTTTCAATTGTCTCTGCCTCGCATGTGCCTAAATCCAGGGCAGCCCTATAGGGAAACACGGTGCGCCATCCGCTGCCACAGGAAGGTATGGTGGGACCCTCTGCCACCACGGGGAGGTGTAGCAAGGCCCTCTGCCACTCCAGATATATATCATGATATTTAGCTGGTGATATATCATGATGTTGAAGACCAGATATTGCCCAGGCCTACTCTATAAGGCCCTCAGGCCACACACTCACTTGAGCCACACTCCTTACTAGTTCTGCCTTGCACCCTCCTTGAATGTTGTTGCCTGGGTGGAAAGTGTCCTTGTGTCTCTGAGGATTCTTCTTGCTTGTCCAGATAGAAGCTAGAAAAGGATCTGTGAGTGCAAGGAATGCAGCCTAATCAGTCTGAAAAAGTTCTTTACCCATGCTCTCTTTGAATGGTTGTTCCATCTGCACTATAAATTGTCATATCACTTTGAACAGTCATGGCTTCCCCCAAAGAATGCTGCAAAGTAGAGTTTGTTATGGCTGCTGAGAGTTGTTAGGAGACCCCGATTCCCCAATTCCACAGTTCTCAGAGCTCCCTGGGAAGAGGAATTGATTGCCAACCACTCCAGGGACGTTGGAAATTGAACCTGAGACCTTCTGAATGTGAAGCATATGCTCTGCCACTGACCTATGGACCTTCTCAAATCACACCACACACTGCAGCAGTTTCTAAATCTGACCACAGGACTGCACTCTATTGATTTAACGATGATTCAGCCTTTGGCAGCTTAAAAAAAGAGATG